GGTATGAAATATATAAGATAGACCACAATTATCAAGTATGTATTTTACATATTTTGGTCCCAATATCATATTCGTTTTCTCTACCGCCTTGGATAAGTGCATAATTATGAATCAATTTTGATAGTTTGGGAGTAGTTCCACCAGAATGTTTCTTATACCAGTAACAGATTACCCCTTTAGCGGCTAATATATAAATGTGGAACTCTCCCCAGTTCTCCATATACCATATAATTTGGGGTAGGGTAGCGTAAACCAATAGTTAATTTAAGACATCTCAAATGAATCTTCTCTATAACTTGAAAATTTTCATATGCCCATGTCTCACAGCCATAAAGCAAGATCGGTGAAATCATATGCTTTCAGTAAACAATCTATAGGTGTATTAAAGTTTCTTTTCAAAAGGCAAAACATAGCTTTAGAATCGCTGTCTGAAAGTTATTTTTATTGCTTTATTGAATTTTCGGTTTCTATTGAAAGTCACTCCAAGATAAATGTAATTTTAATCATCTACAATGTCAATCAAAGTATTTGCATAATAGAACTTTAGCTTAGAGTATTTTGCTGGACCGCTCCCAAATATAAGTACTTTTGTTTGATCTAGGTTTACTTCCAGATGCCACATGTTACAATATGTATGGAATGAGTTAAGAGTACGTTGAAGTTCACGGGCTGAATCAGCGAAAAGGACTGTGTCATCTGCATAAAGTAGTATCATAAATGAAATACATAGGTTCATGTCAATATCTGGGAAGTTAGGAAGACTCACAGATGTACATCCATCATTAGTAAGGAATTCGTCCAGGTCATTTATGAATAAACAGAACAAAAGAGGGGAAAGGTTTTCACCTTGGCGCACGCGAGAGTAGCATGGGGAGTAATCCGACATATTATTGTTTGATAGTTAGCATACATATTTTGAACAAGAGTTAAAAATATACCCTTAATTCCATTGTTAAGTAGCTTATGCCAGAGCCCAACCCTAAAAACATTATGGAACGCTTTCGAGAAGTCAATAAAGGCACAAAACAGTTTTCTTTTACTAGTTTTAGTAATTGGTTGAGCATAAACATTACAAAGATGTTATCATTAGTTGAGTGGTCATTCCTAAAACCCGCCTCGGCAGGGGTTAATACATTATTTATTTTAAGAAAAGTGTTAAGTCTGTTATTCAGTATACTTTTGAACAGTTTACCGAAACAGCTGAGTATCGTAATTGGTCGATATGCGTTTGGGTCTGATTTATCTCCCTTTCCTTTGTAGATGGGTCTGATAGAGCCCGTCAACCATGCGTCCGGTAATATTCCCGTTGATAAAATCAAGTTAAAGTATTCAACATATGTAGCACCAAGTAGATCAAATGAATCTATAAGATAATCATTTTCAATTTGATCAGTCCCAGCGGCTTTATTGCGTTTAAGATTTTTAATTGCAAAAGCTATTTCTTCAAATGATATATCTTTATTAAGCATGTAGTCATCGTAGCCTTTCTCGATGATTTCGCGGTCTATTTCGGGGTAATCTGAAATCTGCTTCCCGTTTATATCTTTAAAATGTTAATAGCATTTATCAATATCAGGTGCATCACTAGAGATATTTCTTTTACTCTTCGTAAACATTTTCCAAAATTCTTTAGGATTATGCTTTTGTTTTTCTCTAGTCAATTTACAAAATTCATTTTTATACTGCTTGATATGCTTGTTCATACACTTCTTATACTCTTTAGAACATCGGCGGTACTCAGCTTTATTAAGAGATGTTTTGCAATTAAAGTATTTGCGTTTGGATTTATGAAAGTTATTACGTTTATCTCTGCATTCTTTGCCAAACCAAGGTGTGTGATCGCGCCGTGCGCTTGATTCATTTTTAAACGGGCGTTTCACACCGAACGTTGCACGTGCAGCATCGGCAAGCAGATTCTTATAGAGAAATATAACGTGTTACATTTGACCACTTTCGTAAATAGCATTGTGTTTTCAGGGGTGAAAAGTATTTAGAGACACACACACTCTAAAAAATATGTGATGTTAGCAAATATCCAAAATTGTAATAGATATTAGTTGCTAGTAATTGTTGTATGATAATAATGAACGAATTGCGAGTTTAGGCAGTTTGACAAGCTTCTCATGTAGCGATTGTCCCAGCTCAGCCACAGTGGCCTATAGATGCACAATATCTCCTAATGTCCAAGTGCACATGTTCGCCCAGTCACAGTAACGAAACGCCACGCTACGCCATAGTCCAGCGTCATATTTGTCTTGACATTGTCTTGACGTTTATTTTGACGTCACCAGACACCACCACACCCATCAAGGAACTGCAAAGTGTATCAGGACTTATCTGTAACCACGAGACGTGGCCTCACACTGGCTCCTGATTTAACATTTGCATGGAACTGTGGATAGGAGAGTGGGTACTACTTTGTGTTCAATACTGACGTCTGCGGGCAATATAATGTTACGATAATTAATAGGGCTGGGACGGGTACTCGGGTACTCGAATCCGGGTCGGGTACACCTGGAATCGAGTCCTATTTCTAGGAATCGAGTACCCGGAAAGGGAAAGAACTCTGTAATAACAAGGGCAGATAATAACTTGTCTTTTTCATAATTGACGTAGCACATCATTGGTATTGTCCGATTAATGAAGGTTATTATTAACGACTGTAATTTATCTACGCATGGGCGGCGGGAACGAAAGGTTCTGTGTTTTTACGAGGGTAGTCTAGTGGTTAAAGCGTTTGCTCGTCACGCCGAAGACCCGGGTTCGAATCCCCACATGGGTACAATGAGTGAAGCCCATTTTTGATGTCCCCCCGCCGTGATATTGCTGGAGTATTGCTAAAAGCGGCGTAAAACCAAACTCAGTCAGTCAGTCAGTAAGTAATGCTGTCACTCTTTATGTTGGTTAAATAGACGTAAATTAAATAGCCTAAGATCTGTTTTAATGTCTTATTGCCATCCTTTCAAGTTTCTATAATAATCTCTGTCAACTCGTGATTGAATATTCAGAAAGTTGACAGAAGCGCTGTATTCTTTACATTTCCGGGTACTCGATTCCGATTCGGGTAAGCACATGCGGGTACTCGATTCCATTTTTTCCTACCCTTCCCCGCCCTAATCTTTAACGGGTGGCATAACTTTGTCATCGAGCGTGGAGGCGAGCAGCATTCAAGCTATTGCTAATCTCTTGATCCGTAACTCGTATTCCAGCAGCTTGTTGAAATTTGACTCCCCTTCTGATCTCGACTTACCATAGAAGCTGGTGTTTGACCAATCGATCCTGGGACTCCCTGATTGGTCGATCGTTAAGATAGTGGGTTTGTTTTGTATCTGTACCATAGCTTACTAACCACATGCTATGGAAAACGAAACGTATTGACCACTGCACGTCAGTTTCCAGCATGTCAGTAGCACGTTACAGACGCAGTCTCGATATTTCAAACACACTCAAGCATGAACTCAAGAAAATAATATATAGCGGTCTGTTTCTAATACGCAGGCGCACGCACAAACTAACATATGTATTGCAGGAATAGTACAGTCAAGCGACAGCATGGGACACGGTATTTAAAGAGCTAAATCTAAGATGCTTCGCTAAAAGATCAAAGGCCCGTCAGAAATTTATCAGACGAAAATGTACACTTTTTGCATTACGTCACACTGTATTGAGTCACCCGACTATTCTAGTGCTTCAGTCGGCTAACGTCACTTAGGGAAATAAATACGTTTGACCCTTTCAACGCAAAACATTTCTCAGTCCGACATTGTCCCTTACGGGGGGTCCAGCACAAACTTACACATTGTACCTTACGGGGGGTCCAGCACAAACTTACACATTGTACCTTACGGGGGTCCAGCACAAACTTACACATTGTACCTTACGGGGGTCCAGCACTAACTTACACATTGTACCTTACGGGGGTCCAGCACTAACTTACACATTGTACCTTACGGGGGTCCAGCACAAACTTACACATTGTACCTTACGGGGGTCCAGCACTAACTTACACATTGTACCTTACGGGGGTCCAGCACTAACTTACACATTGTACCTTACGGGGGTCCAGCACTAACTTACACATTGTAACTCACGGGAGTCCAGCACTAACTTACACATTGTACCTTACGGGGGTCCAGCACTAACTTACACATTGTACCTTACGGGGGTCCAGCACTAACTTACACATTGTACCTTACGGGGGTCCAGCACTAACTTACACATTGTACCTTACGGGGGTCCAGCACTAACTTACACATTGTACTTTACGGGGTCCAGCACTAACTTACACATTGTACCTTACGGGGTCCAGCACTAACTTACACATTGTACCCACGGGGTCCAGCACTAACTTACACATTGTACCTTACGGGGTCCAGCACTAACTTACACATTGTAACTCACGGGGGTCCAGCACTAACTTACACATTGTACCTTACGGGGGTCCAGCACTAACTTACACATTGTACCTTACGGGGTCCAGCACTAACTTACACAACGGGAGTCCAGCACTAACTTACACATTGTACCTTACGGGGGTCCAGCACTAACTTACACATTGTACCTTACCGGGGGTCCAGCACTAACTTACACATTGTACCTTACGGGGGGTCCAGCACTAACTTACACATTGTACCTTACGGGGGTCCAGCACAAACTTACACATTGTAACTCACGGGAGTCCAGCATGAACGTGCACACTGTACCTTACGGGAGTCCAACACAAACGTACACATTGTACCTTACGGGTGTCCTACACAAACGTACACATTGTACCTTACGGGAGTCCAACACAAACGTACACATTGTACCTTACGGGTGTCCTACACAAACGTACACATTGTACCTTACGGGAGACCAACACAAACGTACACATTGTACCTCACGGGAGACCAGCACAAACGTGCACACTGTACCTTACGGGAGACCAACACAAACGTACACATTGTACCTCACGGGAGACCAGCACAAACGTGCACACTGTACCTTACGGGAGACCAACACAAACGTACACATTGTACCTCACGGGAGACCAGCACAAACGTGCACACTGTACCTTACGGGAGACCAACACAAACGTACACATTGTACCTTACGGGAGACCAGCACAGGATGACACATTGTACCTCACGGGAGTCCAACACACATGTACACATTGAACCTTACGGGAGTCCAACACAAACGTACACATTGTACCTTACGGGAGTCCAGCACAAACGTAAACATTGTACCTTACGGGAGTCCAACACAAATGTACACATTGTACCTTACGGGAGTCCAACACATGGAAATCGATCAAGGAACGTTACATTGTACCACACGAGATCTGAGCAATGTCACTGTACATCAGCAGCCATGTCCTACTACACTGTCTTCTGTCTATGTCCATCTGTTACAGCTCTTTCTAGGTAGCCATTATGTAAATGTCAGTTTGATCAGTGCGACGTTCAGTTCACCCATTGCTCTTATGTCATTGTGTGAAATCCGCTGGATCCCTTACCTCACTGCATTATCGATTTCACAAACACCTCATTCAACAGCAAATATACATCTGAATGATGAACTATATTCCTTTGTAATTCATCATAAATAAGAAGCATGCTTCAGTCTTAAACATACACATATTCACCAAACTAGCAATATATTCATGAAATTTTGTTCATGAACAATTTGAAAAGTATGTCATGGTGTCCTACTGATCAAGCTTTGCCTTCTTCCATAGTACATCATATGGCCAGCTTCTGAAATGAGTTGGGTCGAGTTTCTTGCCTCCAATGATAGGCTCGTATGCAGAATATTTCCAGCTTGATAATAACTCTACCAGGTTTTCACCATTGATATCTGTTTTCATGAGTACCCATTCCATAAGAATTGCTGGAACTTCAATCTCCTTGAAAAATCTGCCAGCACCACGGAGAACGTAATATTCAAATTCTTGTATGTCCATTTTCAAAACTGCTTTCTTGAATGGAAGGTATGGTAAAATATCATCTAAAGTTATAGTGTAAGAGTCAGATGGTTCACCGCAAGGTGATGTGAGCGACGATGTAGACGACGCTACAACACTTGTCCCTCCAAGATTGTCTGGAATACGCTTGAAATTCACGAGAGAATGGTTTGCACCTAGAGGATTAAATATAATTGTCATCCTGTCCGTAAATCCACCCTTCTGGATAGACTTACAAAGTCTTTGGACATTCTCTATAAGAGGGTCCACAGATACCACCTTCCTCCCAAACACGGCCACAGAAAGGGAGTAGGCACCAACATGAGACCCTAAGTCCATGAAGCCAAGATCTGGGTCCTTTTGCAGTTCTGACAAAACAAGTTTGATGTTGTTAGATTCCCATACTCCATTATGTTTTATTTTCTTGGACACCCACTTGTCAACCGCTACATCGTGTATGTGGATTGGCGTCAATCCTCGTGGTGTGTTCAGGGGGACACAATCAACATGCACTGTCCACGTGCAAAAATCATGAAGTTGCTGCATGTGACTTCCATTGAAACTATACACTTTAGTTTTACCAAGACTGGGACGAACTGGTGTATGCATGAACCTTTGATATGCCTCCGAGCGCATAAACTCGGTGGTCCCCACCCTGTGGGGTGAAAAGAAGGGTAGGATGACGTGCTCAACGATGAACATAGTGAGGGCACCAACAATCACCAGATAAAAGTGACGCGAGGGTTGCATTATGGTGTCAGGTGTCAGGTTGATATCTTCTGATGTTTCGAGGGCCAATCTGAAACTTAGATAAAGTCATTGACAGTTAATTCTAAGGCATTGTTTGATAGATATTTTCGGTTGAAGTCGAGCAAAGTTCGAGCTATATGACATCGGCCTGTAAGTAATGGAACCTGCAGCATGCAGCTTGTGGTTGACATCATGACGTACCGTCCACGTCATCGGCTACAATTGCAGGCAATCAACGACGTCGCTGGAGTGTCTGGAGGCCATTATATTTAGTCTTACACGGGAAACGGGAAACCAATCACCTATATCCTTTGAACTATATTTGATATGAATTACTTTAGTTCAGTTCCACATTCAGCTATTTATGTTATATATTTACCATAATCAGTTAAACTTACATTACAATGGAAATCTAATAACCCTATTAGATAAAGCTGTAATTAGTCAACCTTGAGTTTAATATATAGATGCAGTTGGCCCAGCATCGGCAGGAATAAGCAATTAGTACATCATTATCATGAACATGCTTTAAACCCAGCATTAGTTACAAGAAGATGAATTGTGAGTATATTTCTTATGTGCTTGTCGCAAGAGGCAACTAACGGGGTCGGATCGGTAGATCGATGCTCATGCTGTTGATCACTGGATTGTGAGGTCCAGATTCAGACAGACAGACAGACAGACAGTTTTATTCAGTAAAAGGCCACTGGCCCATAATACAGTCAAATGCGTGATCACACATCACATGAATGGTACACAATGATTTATAAAAATGTTCTGCTCTTCATTCTAATTTGTACATTATATAAGAATAAAGAAACATTCTTAATCATATCGACATTTGCAGATTGCATAATATGGATAAAGTTGTTTATCGTCGGCGGCTTACTTAAATATTTCCCAATATATTTCCCTCGAATATCGGAGAAACATTCACAAATATACAAAATATGCCACTCATCTTCAACAACATTAATACCTTTGGACTTACAAAATAAACAAAATCTTTCATTTGAAGCAATATTTTCATATCTCCCAGTCTCTATTGCTAGATTAAAGTTTCCGCATCTAAATTTTGAAAGGGCAGATCTCAAATTTAAATAAATATTACAATTTAAGTATTTTTCTACATCTAACAGAGTCTTATACTGACAATAATAAACAGTTTTATGTGAATTTTCAATGGAAGAATACCAGGATTGCTTAAATTATCGGTCAGTCTTTGTTTAAAAAGAAACATAAAATACTTGACATTACCAATATCCTGACTGACCCATGTATAGCCAAAACCATAAGTAAATAAAATATGTTTAACATTAGTTACCCAAGTTACACGTCCAACATCATCTAATGATTTCAGCATTTTGTAACAGTGTTTTGGGAGTCTGTTTGGGGGTAAGTACAATAAATGACACCAATATTTGATAACCTTAGTCATATATACAATTTGTAAAGGGAGTCTAGCACATTCTCCAAGTACCACATTATTACAAGTTAATTTACCAACTTTTAAGAAATACTTACAAAATTTAATTTGTACAGACTCTATGAGTTTACAATAACTGGTGCCCCAAACTTCAGCTCCATAACATAATATAGGTGAGATCATACAATCAAATATTTTAAACAAATCTTTACAATTGACACCACCCATTTTTCTTTGGAAGTTATTTACAGAAAATAATGCCTTATTGGCCTGAGAAACAAGACATGTCTGTGCTTTACTCCATACAAGTTTAGGTGTAAATACAAGTCCTAAATATTTATAAAAGGATACACATTCAATTTGTTTACCATTGTAATACCATTTTTCATAATCTCTTAAAGGGCCACCATTTCTAAAAACAAGAATCTTAGTCTTTTTAAGATTTACTGACATACCAGTGAGTTTACAAAATTTCTCAAGAACATTAATCTTTTTCTGTAATTGGTTGCATGTATCAGACAGTGCCGATATTCGATATTTACAGACTGCCGTAATATAGCTGGAATATTGCTGAGTGCGGCTTTAAACAACAAACAAAGAACATTAAGTGTACCAAACTGATGTTGCAGTATAGAACAACAGACTACACCTGCTATAGGCTATTTACATGTACGAGTATATAGAGGGAATCTATTCAGTCAATATATCACGTCACTGAGGTGAATTTAAGGATGAGTAAATCCCACATGATACATGCTGACATGTTTCCAAGTGGCAATACCCATCCGGCAAAGGTAAACCAACGAAACAAATCTAATGCTGACGCCATTGGGCAGCCTGGCGTGTCAACCTGACCCCGGCTCGGACTGTACAAAGACGGCCTTCACTACTGGGCGACAACGCCCACTGTCACTTTTTGTTTGATGATGATTTAAAGGGGGGGTCACCCATTTTGTTCTTGGGAGCTAGGGTGTGTCAGCAATTATTTTACACACGTACTGGGGTGGGGGGTCAGCAATTTTGTACATAAAACTATGTTTAAAATTATGCTAGAAATTATGGGAAGGGGAGGGGGTCATTGATTTTGTACATGACATGTTAGGGGAGGGGGGTCACTTATTTTGTACATCAATTTTAGGGGTGGGGTCTTTAACGTTGTACATGCTTCTCCATAAAAATCATCATCACCCCTCCCTAGCCATAAATTATGAACGGTCCTTAACTGTATTCGGGGGTCAGTGGACCCTACAACAGTTACCCAATCGCATTGCTGTTCCATGTTGTCCTGGGGGATGTAAGCCCGGACTCTACACTAGCCAGGTCTGTCTAAGGATGCTAAGTCAAGGAGTGAGGGGTCGGACAACCGTGACAGGATAGGCTCGTCCTATACTGGGAAACTGAGGGACGAAGACTAGAAAGCCCGCACCGCTCTATACCCTTGTTAAAGGTATTTGTTTAAACGGTTAACCTGATCACATGTCCCAATACATCGTTTTGATTCGTTGAAAAGTGTGTCTGACCATGAACTCATGGGATGCCTAATCTAAAAAATACCGGCCAACACTCAACGGTGAATCATCATCCCTTTACAACTGCCCTATTTTAACGTAAACTCGGTCTATTCTGTGTTTTTTGACGCCCTTCACCACGTGGCAGGTGGCTATACATCGTACACATAAAAGAGAGAGAGTGTATCATAGCCATGTGATTTTCCATATCCTGTAGATAACATAGTTAGTGGTGTGATCAAGTTTGTTGTTTGACTGCTGCTCTAACGTAAGCTTAATCTGTTCTGTCTTTTATAACGAATGTATTCGAATTAAATGGCAATGATCACGCGACACACACATATCCCTATCGATTTCTAGCGACATTTTGTCTTCATTACTTTCCACACAAAAATAGGGACATTGAAGCAAAGTCCAAAGTGGTTGAGTTAATCGGTTAAGTGTTTCAAAGTATTTATGATTTTTTAATGTAAATACAGTCAAGTGTTCACGGAATACATCATGTCGGTGTTGAAAATGGTGTGTGCGTCATTGTTTACATTTTCGTATAACTGCTTAACTAAAGTTTTCCCGCCCTAAAAGTAACGAATGGCGTCGTTCTGGTGACGTATACTTTGCCAATGAATTGATGAAAATGCTAACTTAAGAAAAAATTCGAGGGAACTTAAATGCTGCCCAGTACATGGATCAGATTTTGCAACCTGTCCTGCCTCCATTTATGCCGAGACATGGAACTGGCCCGGCTGACGTCCCACATTCATTCTCCACTAACAGGCGCCAATCCACTTTTGTTAACTTTCAAAAATGAACTTTATTTTTTCCTTTCATACTATGTATTAAATTAAAATTGGTTAGTGCCTAGATATGATGCTAAAACGATTTCCCTTTGGCAGTCGTAGATATTCTGATACAGACACTCAAACATAGACCAAAGATTCTGTCAGGTGACAGATACGTTACCTCTAGTATGCAACTTTGGGGTCAAGTTTTTACGTAATTACATTTTTCCTGCAACTTTGAATGTATTCATTTTAAAGCTTGAGTATCAAAGTACTTAGGAAAAGACACGTGCATTAATTGAATGTTGTTTTCAACCTTTAGTGTCACAAAATATTTTAGTTTCTTATTTCCTGATATTGCTCCAAATACATTTCCATCCACATGCATATGAGCTATTTTTAAGTGGTAAGGGTAGACTTGTTATTTGTTATTCTAGAGAAAGCTGATTTCTATATTCTCAAACTTTACACGGCGTTATTATAAAAGTATGCTGCCATTGACGCAAGAATTATGTTTCTTGATAGAGTTGCAGAAATTAATGTATCTGTCAAATTTTCAAAACAAGATAAAAACAATCTGCATTTTGAAGAAAACAAAGTTTTATTTTCCACGATGCGTCAAGAAATGGTCTCAGTTAAAATAGCAGTCAACGGTTCTTCACTTAACATAGCAGGCAATGTTTTCAGACAAATTGAGGACTTGAGGATATTTTCGCTGAAGAAATTCAGCTTCCAGTGTAATATATATGTTACTAGTTTGGTTCTTTATTGAAACACTAAATGGTGTTGTCAAGTAACTGAACAAATAATAGTTTTTATTATTACAAACCATTCATTATGTGTCTCATTGTACTCAGGAAATGTGCAGTAACGTATCTGTTCCAGGACAAATGTGCAGTAACGTATCTGTTCCAGGACAAATGTGCAGTAACGTATCTGTTCCAGGACAAATGTGCAGTAACGTATCTGTTCCAGGACAAATGTGCAGTAACGTATCTGTTCCAGGACAAATGTGCAGTAACGTATCTGTTCCAGGACAAATGTGCAGTAACGTATCTGTTCCAGGACAAATGTGCAGTAACGTATCTGTTCCAGGACAAATGTGCAGTAACGTATCTGTTCCAGGACAAATGTGCAGTAACGTATCTGTTCCAGGACAAATGTGCAGTAACGTATCTGTTCCAGGACAAATGTGCAGTAACGTATCTGTTCCAGGAGCTAGCATAACAAGTTTATAATTAACAATTTAAATTTAAATTTAAAAAGCATTATTTGTTCAGTTTAGTGTTTCAATGGTTGATTTGCTATTAAAGAACCAAACTAGTAACATATATATTACACTGGAAGCTGAATTTCTTCAGCGAACATATCCTCAAGTCCTCAGTTTGTAGCTTCATGTTTGTTACTTTGCACGTGGAAAGTACTATGCGAAGATATCCTGAACTTTCACTGGATGGATAACCTGTAGGACCTTCTGGAGCGACCTACTGGATCAGGTTCCACTAAACAGAGAATGTCCTCAACTGGAACCAAAATCTCACCAGGTTCACAGGGCCATTGGAATTGTTTCGGGCCTTTTGTGACCAAAATCTCATCAGGTTCACCAGGCCATTTGAATTGTTTCGGGGCTTTTGTTGTCGGACTGACAATGAAGGAATCAAACGCTTCTAAATCCACTTCATCCACTCCCAGAACTTGTCCAACGCACCACTAGTCATCATACACTGCAGTAATGAATGACTTTACATCTGGGACCTGTTCTTGGATTTAAAAATCTGTGAGCAGCCAGTGATTCTCATTTACAGATCCTTTTTCACCAAAGCTCCAGTCATGAGAACCTCATTTTGGTTTTGTGCGTTACCATTGCAGATGACATGTTTTGTCTAACAATCACAAAGCTGCGCAAGGAATATATTGATAAATCATTTGGATGTTGCTTTAAACATGCTTGTATGTTAATTACCTCAAAGATATACCATTCTCTTTTTATACTGACGCTCAGAAAAAAATGAGCTTAATAAACAGATACGTTACTTTGTAAATCAGATACGTTAGTAGCAGAATGATAAGAAAACATAGTTTTTCATCATTTCTATTTAATCTGCGAACCCTATGCTAAACTACAAGTCAAAGAGCACCCAGTAAGCCAGAAAAAGAACTGTGATGACCATGATGTGTTGTTAATTACCTATGTTCATCAGAGTGCCCCAACAAACTATCTTGGTAAGCTTTAACAATCTTCTTCCTGTGTACTTTTTTTAGCTGGTAACGTGTCAAATGACAGAACTCACACCGACTGTGCAAATAACGCACGATTTAAATGTAATTTCTGCGGGAAATTTGAAATTTGTACATATACAGATAACGAGTAACGCATCTGTTGGTGACGTGTTTGTTAGGCAAAAGCGTTTCTGGGTTTAGAATTAGGTGTAAACTGTAATCAGCAATTTCCAGGCTGTATGAACTAAGTAAGGTGAGGGTGTTGCATGTGTGTACGTTATACAGCAGTGAAGAAGTTACGTTTCGAGGAATTCTAGATTCCCTGGTAACGCATCTGTTCAAATTCTCGCGTACCTGTCAAAATCAAACTGAAAACACAGCATACAACTGAAATTATTGTCTTAAACCTAATATCAAAAACCTAGTCCAAAACATCCCGAGTGTCAAGTTTTAAGTTTTGCTTACTATACAATAACATGTGTTCAAAAGGGGCGTTGAAATGAGTCAAGTCTTATTGCTGTGATTACTGCTTGTATAAATCATGATTTGTTAGTTTTATAATAATAATAATGTTAAAATTTGTATAGCGCCTGAATCCAAGGTTTGCTCTTGGTCGAATGCTCTGTGGAAAAGAACTGTTTTTAGTTCTTTTTTGAATGGAATGATGTCTGACAAGTTTTTTCAAGTTTTCAGGTAGTTGGTTCCATAACAGAGGACCTGCTTTGGCGAAAGCTCTATCGCCATAACTCGCTCTGCGGGTAGAGGGCACTACTGCTTGTTTTAAAGAGGCTGATCTCAGGGTTCGCGATGGCTGATACCATGACACTAGTTCAGTCAGGTATTCTGGAGCTTGGTTGTGAAGGGCCTTGTGCACAAACACCAACACCTTGAAGACAATTCTTTGTCTGATTGGCAGCCAATGCAGTGTACGTAATGTTGGCGTGATGTGTTCATATTTGCCTGCACCAGTGATGAGTCTTGCTGCTGCATTTTGTACTCTGGTGAGTTTGTTGAGAGTTTGCTGCGATATGCCAAACATCAGGGAGTTGCAATAGTCCAATCGTGAGATAACCAGTGCTTGGACTAATGACTGGATAGCTGATCTGTCAATGAAGTGCTTGATTTGGCTGATGTTTCTCAGATGGAAAAAGGCGGATTTACAGACAGTGTCTGCATGCCGATCCATACTCAGGGAGGAGTCAAAGATAACTCCGAGGTTTCGAGCTTGATCACTTGGTGATATTGTGCTGTCTCCTATCTTTAAGGTTGGGAAATCCATTTTCCCTGATAGAGACCTTGGCCTCAGGATCAAAAGTTCTGTCTTGTCATTGTTCAACTTCAGATAGTTGGTAGACATCCAACATCTTATGTCGTCGATAGCTTTACTCGTTAATGCAAATGTCGACTCAGCAGATGTTTGTAGAGGCTTGAAGCCTAGGTACAACTGTGTGTCGTCTGCATAAAGGTGAAACGATAGGTTATGCCGTCTTGCAATGTTATGGAGGCATAAGGTTAAACATGAACGCGCAACAATGTGACAACCCAAATTTTCTAACATGTAGAACTTGTATAGCTAACTAAACACGTAAAGCTGAGGTGAAACAATAACAGCTTACAGTTACTTACTTTGTGTGGTATTGTCAAAACGAGAAAGATCCAAAGCAACAGATCCCGCCTGATGATATGTGTGGGGAATGAAAGCCTGCAACACGGGTGTGAATATCTTGGTACTGAAAGACACTGAAGTGCGTGTCAATACCGACAAGCTGTGACCTGATACATAAATAGCTAACGATCTGGCGAGGTGGGCACTGATATTGTTTATTTATTGCACAACATTGTAATACCTGGAAACAAGTTAAGCACCCCTAAATACGTTGGCTGCTATCAGAACTATGTTCCAGTTCAGCTCGTGTATGACGATACGTATTATAATAATGTGCATTTAAGAAACTGTTGCAAGTGTAATTATTGAAAGTGTCTCCCAAACATAGCATGTCCAGAAGCCAACCCACGAATGTTACTTGACTCATCTAGACGTGTCACGTTTAAGACTATTGGACTTATCTAGACGTGTCACGTTCAAGACTACTGGACTTATCCAAATAGCTAACGATCTGGCGAGGTTTGATTTAAACATATTTATTCAAGAGAATGGATTGGGTACAAGTTATGCCAACTTAGTGAAACCCTCTCCTATTTACAGTGCTTACATGCAAAAGTGAAACAAACTATATGTACAGGGATAGAAAGATATATACAAAATGATATATACAATACAATGAATACATGAATTATTTAGATCATACACATTATATCCAATCACTGAACCTTTTGGAATTTGATATATATTTTTGAACTTCTTTAAAAATGTGAATATTGTCACTATACGGAAGATCTGCACTGCCATTTAATAGTACGTCTAGGTTTGTTGGTGCTTTAATGTTACAAATTCTGCTACTATTTTGAAACATTTCCTGTCTGATAACAGAATACAAAGAACATTCCATAAAATAATGTTGAAATTTTTTTACAGGTAAATTTACAATTACATTCGGGGTTCTCTATGAGACCGATCCGATATAGATCACCATTTAATCTACTATTTGAATATCTTAGCTGGGTATGAATTACATTGAGTTTTCTATTACCAAATGAGAAATATCCTGGTGCTTTTGACTTACGCGAGCTTATATGCGATTTAAAACTTTTAAGGGAAACTGATTCTCTAACATATAAAAGGAGATTATTCCAAAGTTGTGCAGATGATGGGAAAAATGATTGACTGTAGAGATTTGTGCGGGAATAGTACAGGGAAAGATCACGAATGTTGCTAAGATTATAATTTGTCCTAGATTCAACAGTTTGCGGCATAAGATCACAAAGGTAGGATGGAGCATTTTTGTTGTATATATTATAGAATAAAGACAGTTTACGACATCTTCTTTCTTTTAACATTTGCCAACCTGTTTCATATATCAGAGTATCTCTGTAACGGGGATGGCTCTTTCACAATGACACAACTCCGTTGAGGCTGCAAGTTCCTTTTTATTACTGTAGTTTGTATATAATAATACAAGTATGAAACAATGTATATGAATATATAACATTCCATCAAAATACCTATTTTATCACATTCATTCATTTCATTGCACATTGTTCAGATAATTAACATTCACAGCACTACCACTGAACATATGAAAAGAACTCAAAATAAATTGACATCACAAAATCAATGGTTCAGTTTCATATTAAGATCCTTAGGAATTATGGAACACATTTGGCATCTTCAAACAATGAAACATCAGCATGTCTTACCATCTATGGGACAACTTGATTCAAACTGGCCACATGTTGTGAGGCCCCAACAAAACACCAAGGACCTAAAATATGTATGTTTTAATTAGCATGGAAATGCTAATTCTCACCAGTAAAGTAAACGTACAATCTGTTTGGACTCAAACATTAATCTGAATCATTTGTAAGTGAAATTATTGACACCAACAATTTCTAACCATAGGTCAAAATATACCTCCACCAAATGCATAAATTCAGTTACAATAAATACTGAATTAACCTTTCAACAATTAAACATATTTTTATAGTTTATTCCTTTTATATAAAACCAAATGTAACTAACCTGTAATTCACCAAAGTCACAATCCTCCATCCATGACTTTCAAACCACCTTGCCAGGTTGGGAGAAAGACAGCAAGTGAACAAACTTAACACTTTCCAAATGCAACGCAATTCAACATCCAATCAAGATGCTGCACATCTTCAGCCAATGAAAACCAAGGACAAGACAGCAGACCTGACCTCCTTAAGACTTGGCTAATTTGCATAGGAACTACTTTCAACCCATGACCCAGTGGTGACTATAAATAAATCATGGACTTGTGAAAATGTAAACCTTTTCACTGACAATTGTATTATTGTTTCAGGTGTTATTAATTGATTCCAAACAGGAACATAAGACAAGACATATTAAAATAGATTGCTTTTCCAGAACATTTTACTATTTGTATATTTTGTACTTGTTACACACTTGTATTTATTACACACTTGTTTTGTACTTGTTACACACTTCCTCCCCAGGGGAAAATGACGTCCTCGTCATTTCCATCAATCTTTTATTACAGACAAGATTGTTTGTTTGACCTCAGAAGGAACAGTTTGAAAGAAATCAGATTGTGCTAAATCACACAGAACAATTGCTTTTTCAAGCCATTGTTGCGTTGAAACACTTTGCGAAATAAACTGACCTGATGTTAACCAATCTGGTTGACGTCGTATTCTACCAGAACGACGAGGCAACTGCTCTGCCTGAACCTCCTGAGCAGAGGAATCATCTGTCATTGTGGACTCGGTTGTTGCTGATTCAGCATCACTGGTTCTAATATCTATGATATCCTCTAAAGTAGGTGATACAACACACGGTGGGTCCATTGTTACCACAACCTCATCATCAGAACCAACCTCATCTACCTCATCGACAACTCCATCAATTACATCCTCAACAGAAACCTCATGAACCTCTTCAGGAGCATGCTGTGGCAATGAAGTTCGTGTTCTTGGCTTTGGAACTGGTGCAACCTTTTCCTCTGAGCACGGAAGAAACCCTATAGGTAGCAGATGATTCCTGTGAAGACACCTTTGCCTACCAACTCCATCCTCCCGTTGCACCCGAAATACTGGAATTCCAACATTAGGTTGATCAAGCACCACATACACCTGTTGTTCCCACTTATCAGAGATCTTATGTTTACCCTCAAAGGCAAGAGCATGGACCAAAACCCTGTCTCCAACATGAAGAGTGGCTAAACGAGCTTTCTCGTCATAATTTCGCTTTTGACGCTCCTGAGCTTTCTTTGTTGAACTAGACGCTAACTCATAAGATTCCTTCAAACGACCTCTCAAAGTTTCAACATACTTTGACAACGAACACTGTTTATCACCAGTTTCTAACCCGAACGCTAAATCTATTGGCAAACGAGGATGGTGACCAAACATTAGAAAGTGTGGAGAATAACCTGTGGTTTCATGACGTGTGCAGTTGTATGCATGAACGAGTGGATTGACATGAGATTTCCAATCAGACTTTTGAGACGGTTGCAAGGTACCCAGCATATCCAACAAAGTGCGATTGAAACGTTCAGTGAGACCATTACCCATGGGGTGATACGGTGTGGTGTGGGATTTGTTCATACCTGTGAGATAACACAATTCCCGAATGATCTTGCTCTCAAAATTCGCTCCTTGGTCGCTATGGATACGGGCTTTAATTCCATAATGCACAATGAACTGATTAAAAAGAGCTTCAGCTGTTGTTTTTGCTGTCATATTTCGCGTCGGCACGGCCTGTGCATACTTCGTGAAATGGTCCGTAATGACCAAAATATGCTGAAAACCACCTTTTGATGATTCAAGATTCAAGATTCAAGAAAATCCAAACAAACCAACTCCAATGGCTGTGTTGTCTGTATACTAACCAGCGATGTTTTAGAACCAGTAGGAGTTTTTCGACGCAAACACCTGGGACAACCACCAATCCAATCCTGCACATCCCTTGCCATGCCTGGCCAGTAAAACCTGTCCTGTAAAAGAGATAAAGTGCGATTTCTACCAAGATGCCCCATGTCATTATGCAAATACTCCAAAGACTTCTCACGATACAAAGCTGGAAGAACAAGTTGGTTGATTGGTTTTCCATCTTTCTCACATTTCCTATACAACACTCCGTCAATCAAATGAAGGTGATCAAAAGTCTTACAGAAAGCAATCTCCTCAAAAGAACCAACAAACTTCTGTACCTTTGGTTTAGAACCAGACCGAACCTGTTTGATAACCCATTGGAGAACCCTATCCTCAGACTGTGCTTTCCGCCAGTCCCGCTTGGTCATATCACTTAAACTGGAACCAGAAACATCACACAATGTGTCAATGACAACATTTGAAGAGCTTAGACACTCGACATACGGCCGAGCATCCACAATCCCACTAATTGCCTGTACAGCTTCTGTCGAAATCCGTTCTGTGTGAACTTGTCCCAACTCTTCCACCTGTCCTGGAACCCTCGATAGCGCATCCGCATCCCCATTGGCCTTGCCAGGGCGATACCTAATGCTGAAATCATAAACTGCAAGTGTTGCAAGCCATCTATGACCAGTCGCATCAAGTTTAGCACTTGTTAAAACATAGATTAACGGGTTGTTATCTGTGAAAACCACAAAGTTGTTCCCATAAAGGTAATCACGAAACTTTTCACTTATTGACCATTTGAGACACAAAAACTCCAACTTATGAGCAGAATAATGTTGTTCTGATTTCTTGAGACCACGACTAGCGTAACTAATGACCCGTTTCTCTCCATCCTGAAACTGATAAAGAACAGCACCGAGACCTTTTGTAATAGCATCAATATGCAATTCAAACGGCAAAGAAAAATCACAGAAACCAAGGATTGGAGGCGATGTTAACCTGTGCTTCAATTCTTGAAATGCCTGCTCTTGTGCCGTGTCCCATTTCCATACCGTATTAGCAGAATTCTTTCGTCTCTTCTTTGGAATGGGATTTGGAAGAACATCACACAATGGTCTGGAAATCTGAGAGAAATTGCGAACAAACCGACGGTAGTAACCTGCGAAACCAAGGAAACGTCTTACCTCCTCAGGCGATGATGGTGTCGGCCAATTCCGAAAA